TTTGTGCCATCAGCAAACTTGCTGAGAGAAGACACTCTGCCATCACACAGATTGTTAATGAAGATGTTGAACAGGACTGGACCCAGCACTGATCCCTGGGGGACTCCAATAGTTACAGGTCTCCAGCTAGACTTGGCACCATTGATCCCCCTGATGTGGGCAAATATTCCACGGGTATTCACAGGGAGGCCTCGCCATGCTGCGAACCCCAGCAAAGGTGACTTCCCACCTATCCTGGCATCTGCACAGTATAAACCTCAGGGAATGCTAGCCTGGGCAAGCACTGGAGCAGGGAATGGGACGCAGCAAACTGCCCTGGCTTTCCCTGTCCTGGGCCAGGATAGGCTGAGACAAGTCTAAAGCAGAAAAGTGTTATGGGCTCTGGGATGAGCAGAGCAGATATCCAGTGGTACCTCCACATCTGCTGGGGTCAGCTTGCAGTTCCGCACCAGCATCACAGTGATGATATCCAGGGTGGCCTCATCCAGGCGCCTGCGCAGCACTTTCACCAGCTCATCTGTGATCTCAGGCCCTGGCAAGCAAGCAGAGGTACAAGCAGCTTTCTCACCCCACCCAGTTAAGAATGACCAGCAGCTCCTCCCTGCCTGTTCAGGGATGCACCACCCTCACACCTGCTTCCCCCAGGGAACAAGTCTTGCCCCACCACCAATTTCTTCAGGCTTTTTCTACCTGTTCACAAAAGACTGTTGGTACAGCAGGCAAAGACAAATGTGCTCCTACACAGGGAAAGTTGGTATAAGCCACCCAGGTTTCACTGTGGGCCACAGATCCTTTCCTCTCAGTCCCATCCAGACAGAACAGAGAACAGCTCTGGACTAAGAGCAGCTTGCCCAGGAGGGAGATGCTTTGTCTGCTCTTCCAGCAGAGCTCTGTTCCTCTGCTTTACATCAACACAGTCCATCTGCTCTAACACTTACCTGCTGGGGCAACACCGTGGACCATCAGCTGGATGTGCCTGTCTACCTGTCCCACTGGGCGGGCAGAGTCCACACTACGGCATGACGCTGTGTCCAGAGAGGAACGGGAACTCTGGGGAAGCAAAACCAGCCACTCAGAAGCAGTTCCATGTGAGTTCTAAATCCATCACTATCCTGAGGTGTCAGCAAGGTCGGGCAGAACCCACCCACTGCTGCCCCACTCCACACGTCTACAATATAAATTTTATCCTACATGAAATCCAGGTTGCTGGAACTACAGGGTTCCTACCAGTCCTGTGGCCAAGAGCATGCACGTCCACTCCCACAGAACAGGAGACTCACCATCAGATCCTCAGAGTAGATGGGCTCCTGGCTGCGTGTCAGTGCCAGCGAGCGAGTTGTCGGACTAGGGACGCTCTCTGCTTCCCACACCTTCCCACTGTAGGTGGTTTCAGTCAGTCTGAATACAGGAGGAAGACAGGTCAGCCTCCATTCCCAAGGATGATAGATAGCACCATACCTCCACAGATCCACACCTTCCTTGCTCTCCCCTGTGCAATTTCTACGGATTATTCCTTACAATATGGTGATTGTGGAAAAATTGCTCTCTGGTTCTCTCCAAAAATCCTCCTCTTCCCTCCCATGTCAAGGCTTTGTGCAGGGAGAGCAGGAGGGACCTGGCTTGATCTGACTTCATCCCATCAGAAGTCAGATACTTGCTGCTTGGGTCACAGCACAGTCCCTGAGGCTGGGCAGACACTTTCTGCCCTGGGGAGTTCTCAGTCTGTTGTAATGCATGTGGCAGGGCAAGGTCAGGCCAACAAGTCACACTGGCTTCTTACCGGAGGTAGAAAACAGATTTAGTGGCACGTTCCTGGTAGACAAACATATTCTTCCTGTTCACCACGGAGAAGGCGTTGAGCACTGAACGAAGCGCCTGGATAGCTGTGGGCAACGTGGGACGTTAGCTACCTCACGTGCCCTTCTCTGGGGTGCCAATCCAGCCAGAAGCCAGACTCTTGACACGCAAAACAAGAGGAAACATGGGCTGTACGCACCTCGCGAGACCCCCATGTTGGGGCCCATCTTGAGGCGTGAATGCACATGGATGAGTGTGCTCCACACAACATCACAAGCAAAGTGCCCTGGCATGAACTGCATGGTGGCAGCCAGGTAGTCCCGGGGCTGGTAGCTCTCCTCTACAGAGTAATCTACAAAGAACATAGGACATAGCTGGGGCCACAACATGGAAGTCATCATCTTTTTAGTCATTCATGGGCAGGCAGTAGCACTGCTGCTGAGGCACAGCCAAGGGTGTATTCCTACCATCTGTGGGCATGACACGCTGCCTGTATGAAGTATAGGGCGTTTCGCTCTTCCAGATGTCCTCCTCACTTTCTGCCACCAGTAATGAGTTACATATGTGGCTGTCATGCAGGTCCTGCAGTAGCAAGCGCTGCAGAGGGTGAGAAAAGATTGGTTCTGTTGCTTGCACAGCCCACAGGAGACAGCAAAAAGGGCTTAGGGCCAGACTGAGTCCCTTTTCCTTTGACCTCCAAGCTGGGACTCCACAAGTTGAACTGGCTCTCCAGGCCCTTCTCTGAGCTCGGCCCAGACCAGATAACCTCCTGAGGTCCCTTCTCACCTAACTCATCTCATGATTGGCAGCTCCATCTCTGCCCTCTGCAGATTTCTTACCTGGTTGACAACTCTGCAGATTTCACTTATCTTCTTCACCACCACCTGGTTGAGACTCTGGCATTCTCCTGGCTGCTCCTCTTCAGTCTCTGCTGGTGCTGTCTTCTCCACACTCAGGCTGCTTTACAGGGGAGAGAAGAGAGGGGTCAGCAGGGCACCTGGCCAATGCCTGTTGCTGTGAGCTAGAAGCAGGAACATAGTGGGGAAGGGACAGCAGCTTTCCCCTTGTGGAGCACCAGTCTAGTCCTGCAGCTCCCCACTCATTGTCTAGAGATAAGTGCGCATCAGTAAGGTCCTGGTGCAGACAAGCAGTAGCCAGACAGAGGACCCTGCTTACCGTGTGTGGTAGTAGACCTCCACTCGGTCCTGCTGGATTTTTATGATGAGCCAGAAATCAGGCATGAGGGGACACCGGGGCTCCTGGTCGCTCATTAGTGCCTCCTCGTACTCCGAGTCACTGCTTCCCCCATCGTAACCTGCAACACACCCCCACTTCAGCCCCGGGCCTGGCACAGCAGCCTCCTCCCCGGGCTCAGCAGGCGCTGGGAGATCAGAACTGCTCACAAGCCCTGTGCCCAGGGGACACTCCAGCCCAAGCACACAGCCCCCCCGCACTCCCGTGTCACTGCCAGCGCCTGGCCGCATGCTGCCGGTCAGCCCTGCCCCAGCAGACCCACCCAGGTGGTCAGAGTCCATGCTGCCCTGGCTCGACACCAGGCTCTGCACGCGGCTGGGACGCTGCTTGCTGAAGCCTGCAAAGAGAAGAGGGGTTTGATCATCGAAGCACTTGCTGAGCTCCCTTACGCACCCCACGTGCTGAAGAAACAGAACACTTCAGGAAAACCAGGGCGTGCTGGCCACGGGGAGGCAGTGCTGGGGAATGGGGCTCTTGCAGCCGTTGCTGGAACCACCAGGAGCTTCGCATCGTTAGGGCTATCAGCGTGGCAGCACAGCTTAGCACCTCGAGTATTGGTAAGCAGTGAATTGCCAGCACCGTGGCAAGGAACAGACCAACAGTCCCTGGTACCAGTTCTGGTATTTAGAGACTGGAACAGGGCCAGCAGCCATATTTTGTATGCCACAGCCAAAACTGGGCTCTGCCCTTATGAGTTCCTGAGGCTGAGGTACATCCTGTCCACATATGCAGCTCCTACCTTCCTTGCCTTGTGTTATGGAGTCAGCCAGGCTTGCTGCAGATGGTGTCACCAACGGCGATTTCTCGCTGGTGCCCTTTTCAGAGGCCGAGGATGGCAGTGACTGTACAGTTGTCTCTGGAGGTGCCTCCTCCAGAGAGTCATGGCCCGGTGCTCCGCTCTGCTGAAGGCTCAGTGCTTCTCCTGGGACCTACGGACAACCCAAGGTTGCAAAAATGACCAGAAAAACAGGCACTGAGACAAGTCCCATCATCCTCCTGCATCATTCTACCTTCTGTTACCAGAGTGTCCCACACCTTCCCACCAGTAGACCACCTCAGTGTCTCTCACCTCATCCTGCATGTGGCTGTCCCCACCTATGGGGTTTCCTATGTCTGGCACAATGTGTGTCTCACTCTCCGGCCACCCCCAGAGACCCCGGGCTTCTTCTGGGTGGACACAGCTCTCATGGTGCAGCTCAGAGCCCTCTGTCTCTGCTTCACTGCTCCCCTCCCGGCCTGCCTGGCCCAGGGCTGTCCTGGTGCCCCCTCCAGCTGGCTGCTGGAAGCAGGGTATCGCCAAAGGGTTTGGAGCTGCCCGCCTGGAGTGCAGGCGGCTGATGGAGATGTAGTGGTAGTCACTGCCCTCTGCATTAAGCACGTAGCCTGGGAGAGCCATTCTTCTGAACTCCTGAAATACAGGGAAGAATAAGCATCCCACTAGCTAAGGGTGTGATGCTGCCTCAGGGTCTTCTCTTTACCTCCTTGAACTTCTCCAGAGAGTGCTCAGGTCCAAAGACAAACTGGAGTAGCACCACCTCGCTGTGGCAGCTGGGGCGCCCCTTGGAGTTATAGATGTGGGTGGCCACCCGGTGCAGGATGGAGGTGTTGATGACCTGCGAGTGGCGCAGCGCAGACACAATCTCATCATCCAGGAGCCAGCGAATCTGAGCAGAGCAAGCACACACCACAAGACTAGGTGACCCGCACTTGTGAGGCTGCCCTAATTCTGATCCATGTCCCAACAGGATGAGGGCAGCCCTTCTCATCACCTACATCCTTTGTCTCCTTCTGAATGCACCTAAGAAAAGGCCCATGGATGAGAGCTCTGCCTGTCCCACCCCAAGTGCAGTAAGAATCTTGTCAGGGTAATTCCACCCTTCTGGGGAGCATGAGGCCAATGGCCTGTGTGACACCAGCAATACCAGGTAGTCAATTCAGTTGACAGGGGTTGCAGCTTGGAGCTGGCTAGGAAGTATGGAACAGCAGTTGTGCACTGTGGCCACATTGCTCCAGCTGGGAGCAAGAAGTAGGCAAGGCTGGCCTACCTCATTCATAGTGGCTTCAATAGCCTGTCTGTGCACTCCAGGGAGGTTGGAAAGTGCAGGGTGCCTAGGAGACAGGAGAGGAATTGACCAGTCACTCATTCATGCAGCCATGGTGCTGCTCCTAGGCAGCAAAAGGAACTCATGAGGGGCTTGCTACAGCTGCAGTGCCATACCTCTCATCTCCTGTGGATGGGAGCCGTTCCAAGTTGTGCATGATATCCTCATCCGAGCGGAAAGAGGATGGCTGCCCTGGAGACCGTGTGAAGGACACACTGCTCTCTGAGGTGCATCTGTCACATGAGAGAGAGAGAGCAGGCTGAGCATCAGCTTTTGAGCCAGAGAGGATAAACATACACACACTCCAAAAAGGGGAAAAGGAATCTCTAACAAAGGTGAGCTTATCTTGAAAAATTTTAGTTTTCTTAGGGTCGTGGCAGCCTCTGTGAAAAGGAAAATCCTGAGTCTCAGCACGCAGAGAGGAGACAAGACTGGCTGGCTGGGAAGAGGAGGCAGAGGATAGGGGAGTGACTGGACATCTTTCCACCTACCTGTTGTGGAGAATGTCTGTGTTCACAACTTCTATCTCCAGGGGCAGTGTCAGCACAAAGATGTCCAGGGTCACACAGAGGTCACCTAAGTCAATGGTGCTCAAGCCCTGGCAGCTTTCCAGGCAGCCCAGAACTTCCCCTGAGGAGAGATCATAGACTAAGGGAATCAAGCAACAAACAGCTCTGGTTACACGTAGACACAGCCTAGTGGCAAACACAGAGACTGCAAGAGGTGGCTGTCTCACATGCCTGAACAGGCTCAAGACTGCCACCATCCTCCATCATCCTTTCAACTTTGCACAACCACTCCCACAGCAAGGTGGAGACCTGGTGAAAAGGCCTTTGTCTGATGCTGGGAGATCCTGGGGGCTCTGTATAGTGAAGGCTGGTCCAGACGGACTGCTGTTTAGGATGCAGCATGTTTGTTCCAGGGGCTGCTCACCCAGCAGGGACCTGACAGAAACCCTCTTGCCCTTTCATCTCACCCAAGGCTTGTTCTTACCCAGACAAGTAGGCAGGGACTGCACGGGCATGGAGCTGTGCTGGCTCCGCAGCTTCACTGAGCAGGTAAGGTGCACAAAGAGCGGGGGCATCTCCTGCTCCAGGAACTCCTGCTCGTTGAGCGAGTCTCCTCCCAGCACGCTGAAGGAGTCATCATCCTGGTTCACTGTGTTGGAGTCCAAGAGGGAATCTGTGTCTGGGAACTCATGGTCCAGCTTCTCACGGTACTCCACCTCCAGCTCGGGGTCACTCTCTGTGGCAATGCAGCACCCAGACACGGTACCTGTTGATACAGGTCCCCTGTTAGCAAACCAGGCTCACATCCCCAGAGACCCCATCAGATATAGCCAAGCTCTGAAAGGTGTCACCCCTGTGAGACTACAGACATTCTTCCCCATGGCAGAGCAGGCAAATTTTACCTTCTTCAGCTGCCAGTTCTGCCTCTGATCCCTCCATGTCCTCACTGCCTTTTCTGTCTGGCTGATCCCGAGATGCCTCTTCCTGAGATGGAGAGAGGAAGAGTAGGTACTAGAACCATGCCTGCTGCAGGGACTTATTCTACTCACAGATCTGCCAGTCCCAAACCCATATGTGACACCAAGCAAAGCTACTGCCCTCCACAAGGACTAGGTACCTGCCAGGGAAGCACCATGCCTACCTCTTTCTTGGCTGACGGGGGGCAATAGAAGAAATAGTGAGGATTTGATGGCACCGGCTTGAAATGTAAACTTCCAATTTCCAGGAATTTTTCCTAAATGAGAAATCCCAAACATGAAACAGACATTCCACTCTGCCCTCCTGCAGGAGCCAAGCTGAGCTTCCACATTCCCCACCTGGATAATTTTGTGCAAGTCTGGGTGTGCCTGGCAGGGCTGTCCAATCTCCAGCAGCGAGAGAGGGAACTCTGAACAGCAGCTGGTGCCCACGCTGCTCTTTGGCTCCTCTGTGGGGCTAGCAACGTTATGGGAGTCCTGCTCGCTGTAGTCCTCCATTTCCGCACTGACAGCATTGCAGCCAGGTCAGACAGGCAGATGGAGAAACGAGAGCAGTTATAGGTACTGTCTACCCCAAAGGCACCCCACCTCACAGTTCCCCACACCTCATCCTGGTGAACACAATTTGACTTACACAGACGACACCTCTACAGCCCTACAAACCCTCCAGCCACCCACCAACCCAGATCAGTGCTCAGGCTGTCTGAAGCCAGGCCAGAGGTTGTTTAACCATGGTGATCCCATGGCCAGGTACTCGACACCACGGTGAACACCCTCCCTGGGAAAGAGAGACACATGGCTGAGTACAGGGACAGGCCTGGAGCAATCTGAATTACCAATGCCCCGTCCAGGGCACCTCACAGCAAATGCCACCATGCCAGCACCTCTAGTGTCTTGGCAGCACAAAGCAGAGCACAAAGCTCAGGCCCATGTTGCTCAGCAGCTCCATGAATAAGTCCCTAAAACTCAGAAAATGCAATCTGGGGAATGGGATGTTGGTTGGTCAAAGTACTCCCTAGGTGGTCAAATTAGTAACAGAGATGGCAGATGTGGGTGCCATACATCACCAGCAATACATCCTTCAGTAAAGTTTATACAGTCTACATTGGGATAGGTGATTTGTAATAGGAGCAAAATAAAGTCCCCACAGTTTTTCTCTGGGAAAGTAGCACTTGAAGAAGTAATGTGATTCTCAAAACACTGAGTGTTCTTCAAAACACAGCCTCATCTCAATGTCTTACAGTGTAAGAAGTAAGTCTGGGGATTCCCAACAAATGCTAGTGAATTCACACAAAGGAACTGAGGATCACCAAGTGCAGAGGACAAAGGACCTAAAGAGGGTGTTTCTTTAACAGACACCAAGGCACAGCAGAGTATTTTTCCCCCCTCCTTGGGTTTCCAGAGGCAATACAAATCTCATAAATACCCTAAGGAATAGAAGGACAGACGTTTAGCATCATGCATATTCCATTTCTGCCTTGATATTCTCTTGTGAATTTTCTTCTAGAGTTTTAAGTAAAAAAAAAATGACACTTTATTCATTAGAAAAAGATAACAAACCTGTCACTTTCACTAGAGTCAACTGCAAGCTCCAATGAGTCAAGCAGCAGGAGATGCATAATTTTCCCAGAAACCACCAGTCTGAGAGTTACTTGCAGACAAACTGCCCTCCAGCTCAAGCCAGATGGGACAGTAATGAGCTAAGACTACAAGAGAAAGTGAAAGGATGAATGTCACTGGAGATTATAAAGGAGAGGAGGAACCTGGTGGACACCATGACAGCTGGGTATCCCACTGGAAGTACCTGTTCTTCCATGTGGCTCTGTCCAACCCTGCTCTACAATGTTCTTTCTAGTAGGCAGCAGAAGACACTTGAAGAAAGATCTGTTCTGGCCCAATGCTAAGAACAGAAGCAAGACCGAGGTGGGCCCCTACCTTGATTCAGAGACCAAGACGCCCCGTTCCCTAGAGCTCTGCTCCTCTTCTTGCTCTATGCTGCCCACTTGGAAGCTGGCTGTCTTGGAGTGCATTCGGAAGTGTTGGTGGCTCTCTCGGAACGAGCGGACATGGCTGCATACCGGCCGCAGGGAGTTGGTGATATCAATCTCTTGGAGCAGCTCCTCACAGTAGTCCATGGCTGTAAGTAGGTCCTGGGAGCTGATGCTGTGTGACTGCTGAAGGCTCTTGAACAGCCCTACAGATCAAGCACAGGGCCTGAGCATCCATGGCAAGGCTGTAAGGCCATGGCAGTCAGGCAATAGCCACATACAGATCTTCAAGTCCCAGCACAGGGCTGCAGTCAGCACACGTGCTGGAAGACAAGACTCAGCCAGTACGCCCAATGTGACGTGTTAGCCTGGGCCTGTCTCACACCAGAGTGCCCAGGTGATCTGCCACCCTGAAGGTGAGAGGGAAACATCCAAGAAGGAACCCCTCTCTACAGGACTCCACAAGTCCAGGTACAGCCTATGCAAGGCCCATAGAGAATGTGCAGAGGCATCTCTAAATCCCCCCTGGTGAGAGATCAGTCTTACAACTCCTCCCTTTGCTCACTGTAAGATCACAAGAAAACTGAGACATTGTTTTCTTAAGAGAAGCTCCAGGGTCCAGCCCCAATCCCAGCCCTGCTTCAGCTCCCACTGCACTGCTCCTCACCTTTCACATAGCACTGGTGGGAGTGCTCCTGCAGCAGTGTGCAGTAACTCACCAACTCCTTGTGTTTGTGGTCTAGCCAAGCAGCAGCAGGAGGACGTTCGAGAGACTGGGACCTGCAAAAAGAGGATCCACAGCCTTCAGCACCAACAAAGCACGTTATAGACTATAAACAGCTCTGGTGCCAGTAAAGCAGGGCCCTAGGGCACACACAAGCAGTGGCTGCCATAAGGCAGAGAGGCCAAGCCAAGGGAATAAGGCAGGGCTAGAGCCAACCTCTTGTCAAGGAAGCTCCTCTGTTTCCTGTCTAGGAGTTAGGTATGGTTGGTATTACCTGAAAAAGATGTCCCGGGGAGGACGGTGTGCCCGTGGGCTGACAAGCTGCTCTCTTAACAGCTCCAAAGAGCAGCTGTAGATGTAAACCGGGCAGCGAAATCGGCGGCACTCGCCCAGCTCAGACTGCGAGTTCTGGCGACAGAAGGAGATGTGCACATCTCTCCGTGAGGGGCCACCCAGCTCTCCAGAGTCACGGCTCACTTCTGTAGAAGAACCAGTCCTGAGATAAAGACTCCTCGTTCCTCGTCTGAGAGGTCCCGTTCCCCGCAGCAGCACCCAGACTTCTCACCACTCAAACTTCTGGCACCACGCTCCTCACCCAGCACCCAACCACTCAGCCCAGTGCTGAACCCCTTCTTGGGCAGCCATGACTGTTCACCATCACTACCATCTTCTGCACGAGTACAAGACTCCATCCTCACTGCAGACCTGGCTGACTACACCAGGAGCTATGCAATCAAATCCTATATGCCTCAAGCCCTGGGCTCTCCCTATGACAATGTGCTGCTAATAGTGCCAGTATGGAAATCATGACATGAGAGTCACTGACGTCCCAGTGCAGCCCACTACTGCCATTCCTAGTAGCTTCCATCTATGTGCAACCTCCTTGCCCACAGGGAGCCAGCCCTGGGCCACAGGCACTCAGCTCACATTACACTCCCTCACTCTGTGAACATCGCAAAAGCTGGCTGAGGCTTCACTGTGGCCCTTTGTCCTGACCTGACTCTGCTGACAGCCAGGCAGGAGCTGACAGGCTGCAGCAGCCTCTTACTCCTCCTACTTTAATCTGCCCAGCAGCATGCCAGGGAATAGCAAGGATACTAATACTTTAGCGAGGTCCTGAGGGTGGTACCGTGGGCTGGTGTTATACTGAGGGTAGGCAATGGCACTGCAGGATCCCCTTCTGCAGCCTCAGCCCTGCCTTGCTCTGTACAGACAGGTCCCAGGATATCCTCTCCAGATCGACTCTCGTCTTTTGGAGGTTTGTCCAACCCACAAGCCACCAGCTTCTGTACATCTGGAAGACAACAAAAATCACTCTCTGTCCAGTGAGAAGTTTAACCTCTTCATCCACATTCCCAAGAGGTCAGATGTCCCTGCTGTCTCTCTGTGTGTGGAAACACCTCCGCAGACTACTTCCGGCTGAGCCTAACAGGCTTCACCAGCAGCTCAGTCCAGTGCCAATGCCCAGAAGAAGGGACACTCCCAGGCTATCCCATTAGCAACGTCCTTACTCCATTTATTAACAATCCTACTGGGAAAACAGTCCAATGGCTGCAGTCAGAAAACAACCCAAAGCTACATCCCTTGCCTGAAAACACTTTGTAGGCAGCACCATGTCCAAGGAGAGAAGAACAAGACATGCAGCGCTTTGCACTGCACTATTCCTGGACACGAGGTACAAAAAGACTGTGTCTAAACTCTACTGTTCAATTTTCTCTCCATCCTACCAGAGTTAATTCTGCTTTTGCTGTTTCCCAAGGAGGTGCTTTGGACTGCTGCCTCCTCTCCTTCCCCATAACGGGCAGCCTCACCTGAGAAGGTGGCTGGCAGGAAGGTCAGAAACACGTGCTGTGGGTTGACCAGCTTGGCATAGCACCGCCATTGTGGGGGGAAGGGCCCCATGGTTCCACGCAAGGTCACGTCATCCTCAGGCAGCTCTGTGTTGCCGAGGCTCTGACGAAAGGATGAAAGAGCAGAAATTGGATAAGCTCACAGGACATGGCACCCGCCTACCTTGAGGCAGGTAGCAACAACACAGAGCAAGTCCCTCCACGACTGCTAGTTGGCACAGCGCTGAAATCTCTCTGTCCACCCCTTGCACCATTCTGAGAGCAGCAGGACTCCAGGAACCACAGCACACACTGTCAGGGGCTGCTTTGCCAGGGCTGGTTCTGACCTCCAGGCAGTGACTGCCCATGGCTTCTGCGCAAGCTGTAGCACAGCATCAGTGCTGCTGTAACAGGCTAGACCCGTGGTGAGTGCAACTATCCACATACCTACCAGATTCCTGCTTGACTTCAGCCATGGGCTACAGCTTAAACTGCTGCCGAGCATGGGGAAAATACCATCCTTTCCATCTGTTCTCTACCCTTCTACTAACTCTCCTGCTCTTCAGCAGCTGCTGCCTTGCCTTTAGAGGCATCTCAGGAGGACAGCAGCATAGCAGTACCTGCAGAGTACTTGTGGAGCCAGTCATATCCCTGGTGCCATTGCTGCCAACAAGATGATAGGATGCAGAAGCATCCTGCTGCTCCAGGGTCCCAGAAGCTTTCAGGGTTTCTTCTGAAATGGAGAACAGAGAAAACAACCTGAGAAACACCAGCTGAGGATGAGACTCGAAAGTAAGGCTCCTGAAACACTTGAGCTCCTGGTGTCACTGCTGCTGTGCTCCTGGCCCTTACCTCTGATCACAGGGAGTGTGAAGGGGGGTTGGTGGCCATCACGATCCCGCTGCAGAACCTGCTCCATGAAAGCCACATGATCAGCATCAGCCATGGGGATCTCCCGGTCACTGAGGTCATGCTGCAGGCAGCCATGGAAGAGGTTTAGAAGCATTTCATTGGGCACAAACGAAGAGTCCTTGGTCACCTCCTCATTTTCTGCTCCAAAACAGAACCATGCCAGCTTCAGAGACAGCATCTCCACAGCCACCTCCTGTACCCAGGAGACAGCCTTTTGCAAAATGACACCTCCACACAACCAGGACTTTCCCCCAGCCAATCGACAAGGATGACTAAGAGTGTGCTGAGGAAGCCCTGGAGTTCCAGCATCATTAGCTACCCTGCACTGACTCACCCTGCTACTGTAACTGTTCTGGAGGTGTCTGGGGCTAAAGACAAGAAAACCACTGCCACAGTGCAAGTCTAGGTTTAAAGATGGCAATATCCCTGGCCAGCCCTGGGGCTGCAGAGATGGGAACACCAGCACTGAGCTACTGAAAGAGGCATGGCAGCTCTCACACAGCGGCTGCTCAGGGAGACAAGCACACAGAGCAGAGTGCTCACAGCCATGGAGGGAGGACAAGAGGAGGCAGGTGGTGAAGAGGCACTTACCTTTTGTCAGCATTAGGAAGAACATTTCAACCTGCTGGCACCTGGGCAACAGCTTCATGAGGTTGAACTGGAAGGGGATCTCATGCACTCGAAAACCAGCCCCCATGTCTGGATCTGCAACAAGAACTGGCAGTGTAAGATGTCTGTGGGCATCACACAGCCCTACCTCCCAGGGCACCTCTGCACACATGGTGCCAGCCAAGAACACATGGCAGGGAGCACAAGTGAAGTTACACAACAACACTGCCCCAACTTCTGCTGCTTAAGGAGGCAGAGGGATAAAAAGAATGAATGTGGGCAAAGAGCAAAGCCTGCCGGAGGCTGCAGCAGAGTCCCCATGGCTTATGGCTACCTTCATACAAGGAAGGGTAGGAAACCACCACAAGGCTTCACATAGCTCAGGCCCAGGGCTGCCAAGGCACAAAACCTACACACCAGTGTTGCAGGTAACACTGCTGGAGAGCAATGGCCATGCTGGGAGCCAGAGGCAGCCTGAATACCAGTGTTGTAAGGGACAAGGACCCCCTGCTCTTGAGAGAGAGATCGCCCACCTGGCCAGCTCTGCACATCCTTGCAGCTGTTTCCTGTACTCATCCTCAGGAAGGAGTCTCTGCCCTCCAGGCCCATGAGCTTTCTCAGCCCTCCCCCCTTGTACAGGGCCAGTGTTATGATCCACTATGGTCCCCTCAGGTCCTGCCCTCAGCCTTTGGTATATATACTGACTCACTCAAACCCACCCAAAATCTCCTGTGCCGTTCACTGCAAGGCAAGCAAACCAAAGATCTAGGATGGGGTGAACCAGTGCCAAGAAAGCAAAAATAGTGGGGTTCTGGAACAGATTGCTTGACAAGGGTGAATCCCCCAAGTACTCCTGGAGCTGTCAATGAAGTACATTAATTGTGTCAGGTCAGATCCACAATCTTATCCTGAAGGAAAAGGATAGACCAGAACTTCTAAGGTCCCCTACCCTATTTTTTCAAAATACCTGTTTCACTATCCAGAAACCCCTAAGGGGTGCTGAGACATTCAGGGCCTAGCTGCCTCTTGCTCCATCAAACGTGCTATGACATAGATGCTGGACTCACCTTCAGTAGCTTTGCTGTCTGAAGGAGGGCAGACCCACTCCTTGTTCTGGCACAGCTGGCTGATGTACTCGAAGGTCAGCATGGTGGCAATGCATGCAAGGTCCCGGGGAAAAAGCTGCAATAAGCAGTCAAGGCTCAGCTGTGTGCAAGAGAATTGTTACCCCCAAATTCAGGAGAAAACAGTCTAAAGGCAAGGAGAGGAAACACCCATAATCCCATCCCCTGATTTGCCCTGTTCTCACTCTCTGCTCTCTCCTCACCCCACCAGCCCTTTAGCCTCTTTCCGCCATGTCTGGGAAGAGCACTGGCAGTACTGCCTGCAATCCCTGCTTGGTCTCTTCCAATGGAATGGCTCATGACAAAGTAATCCCCCCTATCCCAGAGCAGCATTGCATCCACTGCCTTGCAAACCAGAAACCTTTCCTGTCTGGTAGCCCAGTTCCTCTTTTAGAAACCTCAGGCTCTTTCATTAATGGCATTACCATCTCTTCTGTCCCTCAATAATTCACCTGCAGTGTTGCAGTGCACTTGCAATACAACCTTCTCCCTTCACTAAATGCCCATGCCCCTACCCCTTCAGGGACTCACTGCTTTAGGTATTTTCTGGTAGGGTAAGCCATGGAGGTGCTTCCAGTTCTCAGCAGTACTGTTGACGTAGCCGCTTTGTGGCTCTACCCAGCACTCAGTAACCAGGTTCAGTTCTGTGTCCACCTCAATGGCTTCTACCTCTGTATCATTGTCATCATCTGTGGAAAAGCTGGAGGAAAGACATAACGCAAGTCCTGAGAGATGGCACAGAACAAGCAGCCCACTGCAGCTCCTCCCAAGAGTTGTGAAAGCAGCCATCAGATGATGAGCAACCTGTGACGGTTGGTTGTCTGTACTAGCTGATGGGAAACTCCCTCCTTCCCACACTGGCCACAAAGGGCAAGTCTGGAGCTGTGACTCCACTGCCAGCCCCTCCCAAGAGCAGGGCAACAGCCTCACCTGTCCTTGGTGGAGGTGGAATGGGGTGGGAAGAGGATGTACTGGACGACACAGGTGTGCTTCTCCCTGCCACTGCTGCTCTCACTTGAGCCGTCAATCTGGACAGGAGACACTGTGTGAGCCTGGCCAGCAGCAGCTGTCCACACCTGGCCAGCAGCAATCCCCCACCAAAACAGCCCCACCACCCAGCTTCACAAGCAGTGGTGGAAAGTGGGAGCCTGTCCCAGCCCCAAGAACTCCTCCAGCACAGCATGTCCCTACCAGCAAAGTAGCACTCTAACTACAGCTGAAGACAGGAGAATGCCCAACCCACAAGCTGCTTTCCTTTGCCTTCCTTCAGGGATGGAGGCAGGTCTCCCTGTGCACGTCAAGGGTGTGTACTAGAAGCAGACGGGAAATCCCATCGCAGGACGGTAAATTCACCTCAGAAGAAGCAACGAAGGACTGTGTTCACACTGCAGCACCCAGGCTCACCTGTATGGGCAGCTCCAGCACCATGTTGATAATTCCATCCCCACTGGATGCGAAGTGGAAACCCTCTGACAGACGGACCCTGGTAACAGAGGGGCAGTCAGACATGGAGGACTTCTCTACCCATACTGCAAGCCTTAAATACAGGAATGACTGTACCCTTCACCCCACAACATCTTCCTTCCCAAGCCAGGGAGCTATGCGCAGAGAATGGGGAGATGTGACACTCCCTACCCCTGCTCAAGGGTGCCACTTACTCTGTGAGCGTGGAAAGGAGCTGGGCTACAGCGGTGATGGGCACAGCCGGGGCCAGCCCCGCCTGGACGCTCCAGATCCAGCGCTGGTGATAGAAGTAGCGGGAGAGCGAGGCCAGGGTGGACGAGGCAGTGCGACTGGCCACCATGGTCAGGGGGCCAGACACCGGGGGATGCTCCAGGTTGAGAATGAAGGGGGCTCGATAGTCAGAAGGCAGCTTCTCATACCTAGGGCAGGACAGAAGTAGGGCTCGATAAGGTGGAGAGAATGCTCTGCTCGGAGCTGTCTGGACCCAGGACACAGCCTCTCCAGCAGCAGAACATGGCTAGCCCAGCACAGAATCCTGCTCAGACAGCAGTAACTGAATTTACTTCAGCACCATATTAGTTAGGACTAACAAATCTGCCTGGCCAGCAAGGCCCCCTGCTGCAAGTCACAGCATTCCCAGGCGACAGCTGCCATTCCCAGCAACGCAAACCCAAACCCACCCTAACAAATAGCAGCATGACAGCACTCATCCTGCAACTGGCCACACCACCCACAGACCCTCCTCTCTCCCACTCTGCAGGGCAAGAAGGCTGCCCCGATGGCCTGGATCTCCATCACTACCTGATAAGTAGCTTCTCTAAGGGTTTGTGCAACACAACAAGGCAGGGTCTGTCTGAAAGGGCTGACTGGGCCCCAGCCACAGGTGGAGACTTGGAGGGAGAATTACTGCCAAACATTTTCCTCTTTGCTTTTGGAGTTGCCTCCTTGCTCTGGACCCTGTGGGGAAAGCGCAGCTGCAAGATTCGGTCCCGTAACTCCTCCACTATCTGTCATGGCAAAAGCAAAAGGTAAATGTGACCACCTTTGTCTTGAGACTTAAGCTACCCAAAAGAAGCGTCCACAACAAGAGCATGACTCAAAGCGATTGAACACTCCTTGAATATAAAGATGAACAGGAGTTAAAGGTCATTTTACTTCTAAAGCACCAGCAAGACCGTAATCAAAGTGACACAAGGCTCTCAGGTCCATATTTTAACAACTACAAATATTTTTAAAAGCAAAAGAAAGGTCCACAAAAATCAAAGAGAATTTCAAGGCAAAGAAACCACCTTCCAAAACTTTGATCAAAAAAAAATTGCATGCCAACTCCTCCACAAAGCAGTCTGAGAACCCACCCTTATTCCTTCCCTCCTCTGTCCAACAGCCTACAGTAAATGTAAATGAGCGCACGCAAGAGAGCCAGACTGTTCCCCCACCTGATGTGTTCCCTCACAATCACATTCGTGTGTCAAACTTCTACAGTAGAAGTTTTCAAGAGCTTAGGTTATTTTTTAGGTTGATTTTTCCCCAAGACAATTTCAAAATTACTTCCTGATGACTCTTTTTAGATTTTAGCAGCTCTGAATATGGTTCTACCCACTCCAGCACCTGATGTCCACAATGCCTCAATATTTTCTTTGAAATGTCCATCATTAGGTTTCTTTTTGTGACCTTCATTCAATTCCCTTTAAATTCCATTACCACTGTAGGCAAACTGGGGAATAGCAGCTCTCCATCTCCCTCCTCAACAGTAATTATTTCAGCACCTTTCCCCATCATTATTTTGTCCTTTCAAGGAATGGCATGTCTGCAGACCCAACCATTACACAGAGCTCTTTTCTGCACTACAATGTCACTTGGGTGCCCTTTGTGATTTCATACTGATAACGCAGAATTGCTGATGGTGTTTAAGCTCCCAAACCCAAGGTGCACTACTCTACAGTTATCAGTACTGGCTTCCAGCCACCATTGTGCTGCATAGGTGTCCACAAAGAACAGGAGTTGAAAGGACAGAGAAAACCAAATACCTTTGTGTTACCTGCAGATTTTCCCAGCTCACTACCAACTGCCTACCTGCAGATGAGTTCCCTACCCTTTGACTAGTAAAAAGGTGGGAAAACCACAAACAACTTCTGCCTTGATGAGAACAGAGCACTTTTTCAATTGTCTTGCCTTGTTCCCCTAGACAGTTTCTAATTTCTAGTTCCCCTAGATAGATTTATGACACTCCAGCTCTATAGTTGTGCCCTTATATGGAGTCTCACCAAAAATCTTCTGAAAGTCAGATTGTACTGGGTGCTTTCCTTCCTTTAAATACTGGAAATTTGAATAGCTCAACACAAAGAAAACTCCTCTTTTCCCTAATTAAGGCAGGCATTCTGCTGCCATCCTCTACACTGGGTAGCTAATCAGCCCTATGGGAGGCAAAAAAAAATAAAAGAAGAAAAAGATTGTGCATGATACAATTTATGATGACATAACTCTTGGTGCCACAATCTGGAACTAGCACAGAGCTGCAGGGTATGGTGCCTGTCTCACATCTTCTTCATGAGACAGGTATTGACTTATACCTGCCAGAGGGAACTCCTTCACAAAACTTGCCACTTGGCATTACCCACCTACACACTGGCCCAGCAATCAGTGCTCAAAGCTTGGATGCCCTAAATACATGAAAGGGCAGATCCTCCAGAGTGACAGAGCATTTAGTGTTATCTGGGTTCATTATCTCAGAAAGAGATGGTCCTTCCATGTTTGTCAGTTTCTCCTCAGACTAATCTAACACTAAAGAGAAAACAAAGATTTCTTTCACAAAGACAAACGATCAAGGCTCTATGATAAATGCCTTGTTTATAAGCAAAGTTCACATGGTTTAACAGTAGAACATCTTTCCCATACTTAGTGTTTCACCTAGGGACGATTAGACTTGTCTCAGCCATTAGAGCTGGAGAAACAGTCTACACAGTAACCCCATCTTCTGTACCTGACTAGGGCAGCCACTTCTTTCGATACAAAGAGGGCATTAAGCTGATGTGAGTCTGTCTAGCAGACTCGCATCCCTTTAAAACATTTTCTGGGTATTACATTTTTTTCTCTCCCTGTACTGCTCATGCAGGGTATTGTTGACATTTTAACTCTAACTCCTGAATTCGTCCTTGCCCAAATGATGAGATACACATATGCAGTCCACCACTTCCCGAAGCAGGTAGCCTATGGAACATGTAGTTCATCCATCACAGAGGTCTTTACCGATGAGTCAGACAAGTATCTGCTGTTCCTGACAGACAGTATTGATTGTGCTTTGTCACAGGGATAGACTAGATAACCCTTGAGTCATTTCAAGCCCCGCAGTTGAATTAAGTAGAGGGAAAAACATCCATGTGACTAGCTATGCTATTGATCTTTGAGTCTTTGGGTTCAGATCTTTCGTGGACATAACAGAGAAAGCTTTATCCAAACCGATTCACACCTATTTAAGCCTTAACATAGTAGTTAGTTATTAGAAGATACCTCCCCATAGCATTGTCAGTGATCTACCCAACACTTCCATGTCAGAACTTCTTGCTCTGCTCCTAACCCACGAAGCAGCTAGTGAGCTCTCACCTTGTTCCTGGCCTGTGCAGGTGTGCCAATGGGGAACCCCAGCCGTAGAACCATGCACGGAGCTTTGGAGATGATCCGCACCACATAAAATGAAGAAGGTGTGGGATCCTCAGAGCTAGGGAGGAGGGATTAAGACAGGACTGAAATAGTCCATACTGAAATAGTATGGACCTTGCTGCTCAGTCATGCCAGACCAAGAGGAGGCATGCTCCACAGAGCTCAACAGCCCACACAGCTTGGCAGCAACACGTCACTTCTAGCATGCAGAAACCCCCCAGCCAGCTTCCCTCTCCCTCTGGGCTGAGCCTGGAAGGCAGTGGCAGCAGTTCAGAAGACACAGGGTTTCACACCCACTCATCTTGCTCTTATCCTCTCCTTTAGACGTCTGCTTCTGGCCCATCACAGCATACCGGTCTAACTGGACCTTTGGTCTGGCCACATGCCCGACTCCCTCCACAGGACCCCTTCAGAGGCACTCACCCATGTATCAGTTTGACGTAGGAGTAGCCCTCCACCAGCACGAAGCTGCTCCAGTCCCGCAGCAGGGAGGTGAGCGCCGAGTGAGAGATGCGGCACTGGATGGTGCTGTAGCGGCCGTTGTTGCCGGGCGTGTGCAGGTGCTTAGGCACAGGCCTGCGGAGTGCGGCAGAAAGGAGTTTGAAAAACAGTTTCCTTTCTTCCTAGCCTTTGCCACATCCATTCAAACTCATCCTCTGACTGGTACATCAGCCTTCCTCCTCTGCAGCAGCCCATACTCAAGCACCTCGCCTGCTGGTGAGAGCCGCACGCCCTGAGCACGCAGGGATCCCGCTCTCCACCCTG